CCCATTCCCACCTGGGTGAAGTGAGGAAAATTCGTGTAAAGTGCCTTTCCCAAGGACACAACGTCGGGCCCTTGACGGGATTCGAACCCATGACCTTACGGTTGCGAGTCCGAGAGCCTAACCACTACAAGATACAACTCATGTAGGAGACGAAAACAGAAGGTCGGAGAACACTTGCGAAACCACATGCGAAAAAGATGAAGAAAAAAGGCCAAAACAGATAAATTAACCAAACTTAAATTTTGTAGGTTCAAGAATTTTTTGCGAATTATGGACACATTTTTGGTGTGTATGCCGAAGCCGGCTTTGGATTTTTTTTGTGAGGGGGTCCTCACCCATTGGTTGTATAGATATAATATATATTTTATATCTATTCGTGTTGGTAATTGCTTTCCTCTCTCCACTCTTCAGGGTGCCCCAGGATCCCCCGGACAGAAGGGAGACCAAGGATTCCAAGGAGCTAAGGTAACGTCTTACCCATTATACCCTTAGTGAAGTGATTACGTCATTTGCATTTACCTATATATTCGGCCATCTTTCTGTCTGTTTACCTGTTTGACCGTTTAGCAGCCATCTTCGTGTATATGTAAAGATATATTATGTGTTCATATATCTGTGTTGTTTGTTTGTCTTTTTAGCTGTTTTCGTGTATATTATGTAAAGATATATTATAATGTTCATACATCTGTTGTCTGTCTGTTTATTCGTCTTCGTGCAAATATGTTCTTTGTTTATATAATATCTGTTTGTCTTTATGTTTAGTCGTTTTTATGTAAAATTGTGTATTATATATGTGTTTGTCTGACCGCTAAGCAGTCTGTCTGTGTACCTGTTTGACTATTCGCTTATCGTCTGTATATTGGTTTTTAAAAAAACAAAACAATAAGAGACGTTCTTACCGATATTGCGTTTGCCAAACGTTATGATAGCGTGAGTACCGTGTTGTGCTTCTGAATTCCCCGCACTGTGTGTACTGTTTGTAATGTGCTGGTATTGTACGCTTAATGTTACATGTCTGTACTTATCAAAGTGCATGATACATTGTATTGTGTTCGTGCTATATGCAATTGTTACACTGTGTTTTTTCAGTTTGTACCTGTATGGTTTTGTATACGTATTTCTGTGTTTGCTTTGTTCTTGTATGATTTTGTGTGCATGATGTTGTGTTTGTCTAATTATATAATACGGTTTTTGCTTGTATTTTACCACAAAATGTGATATTATCTTTGTCATATAATTTTATTGCAATGTTCATTGTTTTCATGTTTTATGATCACATCGCTCACCATACTTAACAATGTTACTTTTGTCTCTTCCAGGGAGAGCAAGGAGAGGTTGGACCCCCCGGAGAGCCAGGACGTTCTGGAAGACAGGTCAGTAGGAATAAAAACATGATTTTTCTTTGTTTCTTTTCGAATTTGAAATAGTATTTTAGTTGCCCTTGTAAACTTTGAGACATTACATGGACATTGCAAAGTCGTAGCTTTCGTAGTTTATTCAGTAATTTCAAGGCAATACAAAATTACTTTGTAAAAAAAAAAACTCCAACACAGGGAAGTTCGTAAGCTTCAATTGATACGTTTTGTACTGTGGCCATTTTTCGTGTTTCAGTTTGTTTTTGTAACGAGCGAAGAAGGGATTTCTCGAGGAAGGGGGACATTTGCTACACTAAAAGGCATTAACTCTATGATCTGTCTCTATAGAAATGCTGGGTGAGAGTTTTTGTTGGGAAGAAATATGGCCACTAATGAATGAGAGCTTATCCCTGTTCTTCATCCATTCTTTCATTCATTCATTCATTTATTTATTCATTCATTCATTCATTCATTCATTTACTTATTCATTCGTTCATCTGTTTATTTATTCATCTATTCATGTATTCTGTTTGTTCATCTACTTTTTCATTCATTTTCCAGGGAGAGTCTGGCATCCCCGGACGTCGCGGACAGAGCGGAGACCAGGGAGTTCCAGGAGTGCCCGGAGAGCGCGGACCTGACGGACGTGGTGGACCTCAGGGTCTCCCCGGACCCCAGGGATCCAGCGGAGCTCCAGGACCCCAGGGACCTGTTGGAATCAAGGTATAGTCGTTACTCAGCACAAATAAAAGATATCGCATGAAATGTTCCAGTGTGAATTCTTCTATTTGTTTTGAGAAAAGGTTTTGTTAGTGTGTCTATGATTTGTTTATCAGTGATTTTATTTTTCTTGTATTTTCGAAAAGGAAAAGAAATAAGAGAGTGGGAGAGAGAGGGAGATAGAGAGAGAGGCAGACAGAGAGAGAGAGAGAGAGAGAGAGAGAGAGAGAGAGAGAGAGAGGGGGGGGGGAGAGGGGGGAGTTTATTCTCGGGAAAAGCTTACATAATCAAATAGTGTCGAAATCACCGTTAAACAATGAACACACATTACACTTTAAATGGTCCAATTCGACCCCCCATTGTTGAGGAGATAAGTACTATCTGAGATATGATGTAGTCCTCTTGGACAGTACCTTTATGATATAGAAATGCAAGAGGGAAGTGATAAGTGGTAGTTTGTACAGATGACTGTATTGGGCAAGTTTGTCGTTAGGGTAGCTTCGACTTCAAACAAACCACAGCATACTTATCTGACCATTGATTTTGACCACCACAGGGAAGTTTCGGAGAGAATGGACGCCCCGGTCGCTCTGGCAGCAACGGCGCCTCAGGACTGCCCGGAACCCCTGGAAACAAGGGACCCCGCGGAGAGGACGGCATCCCAGTAAGTCATTGCTCTTCTTCTTGCTCTTCTTCTTGCTCTTGTCTTGCTCTTGTTCTTGTTCTTCTTCTTGTTCTTCCTGTTCTTGTTCTTTTTTGTTGTTTTTCTTGATCTTGTTCTTGTTGTTCTTGTTGTTTTTGTCGCTCTTGCTCTTGCTCTTGCTCTTGCTCTTGTTCTTGTTCTTGTTCTTGCTCTTGTTCTTGCTCTTGTTCTTGTTCTCGTTCTTGCTCTTGTTCTTGTTCTTGTTCTTGTTCTTGTTCTTGCTCCTGCTCCTGTTCTTGCTCTTGCTCCTGTACTTCTTGCTCTTGCTCTTGTTTTTTCTCTTGTTCTTCTTGTTCTTATTCTTTTTTTTTTCTTCCTCTTTTTTCTTCTTCTTCTTCTTGCTTTTGTTCTTGTTCTCCTCCCCCCCCCCCCTCGTCCTCTTTCTTCTGTTAGTTTTAAAAACGTTCTAGTTGTTAGTATTGAAACTGTTATATTTGTCAGTGTTAAAAAGGTTCCATTAGTGTTAAAAAAAAGCTCTATTTATTGATATTGAAAAAACTGTTTGTTGGTTTTGAAAAAGCTCTATTGGTTAGTATTGAAAAAGCTGTTTGCTTGTATTGGAAAACAATTCTATTTATTGATATTTAAAAGACTATATTACAAAATTGTTAGCATTGAAAAGGCCATATTTTGTTAGTACTTTTTGTTAAAGCTCTGTTTGTTAGTATTTTTTAAGTTCTATTTAATAGTATGAAAAAACGTTATTTTTAAGAATTGAAAGAGCTCTATTCGTTTGTATTGAAAAAAAACTTTTTGTTCGCATTTCAAAAATGTCTGTAGATTAGTCTTTGATTATTTAACTGATGTTTTGTCAACGTTTAGGGAGGAGAGGGCCAAGTCGGACCCCAAGGAGCTCAAGGACAGCGTGGAGACCCCGGAATCCCAGGAGTGCCCGGAGAGACCGGACCCCCAGGACAGCCTGGACCCACTGGACCTCGTGGTTCTCAGGGACGCAACGGTCAGTGTTTGATTACTGGTGGTTGCTGTGGTTGATGATGATAATGATGGTGATGATGATGATTATGATGATGATGATGATGATGATGATGATGATGATGATGATGGTGATGATGATGATGATGATGATGATGATGATTATGATGATTATGATAGTGTGTGTGTGTGTGTGTGTGTGTGTGTGTGTGTGTGTGTGTGTGTGTGTATCATGTGTGTGCTTGTGTTTTAAGTGGGTGAGGGGGGCGGGAGTTGTAAGTGGGTTTTATCTGAGTGAATGTGTGTGTGGAGGGGGGTGGAACTGTGTGTTTGTTTGTTTGTTAGTTAGTTTGTTAGTTCGTTTATTTGTTTGTGGTGGAGTAGGTGTGGGAGTTTATGTGTGTATGTGTGTGCGCGTGAGTGTACGTATGCGTATATGAGTGTGGGTATTTTTGTGAGTGTGTGTCTGTGTATGTGAGAGAGGCCGAAAAATTTAAAAGGCAATGAAGACAGTAATAATTTCTCTGTTGGGCCTAGTATCCCGTGAAATAAATGTTCGCCAAAAATTATAATTTGTTGTTGGCGTCTTCTCCCTAGGCATTGACGGATACCAGGGTAAGGCCGGAGAGGTCGGACCTGTTGGACCCAGAGGACCTGTTGGAGAGCCCGGAACTGCTGTAAGTCTCTGACTCATCTATGAGTCTTCCTGTATGCGCCTCATACCTGTCTGTTTGCCTCTTTGTCAGTCTGTCTCTCTGCGTAGAATACGTAAATAAACCAGGTAAATTCACCTAACCACCTTTATTCCTGCCTACATATATGCCTGCCTATCTACCCATCTATCTGTCTACCCATCTGTCTAACTATTTGCCTAATTTAACAGTCTACCTATCTTATTACCTATATGTTAGCTATCTGAATATCATTTTTTCCCTTTCTCCTCTTTGTAGGTCGGTAGGAAGGTAGGTAAAATGCCATCATCTCACGTTATGTAGTGCATACACATTTTACAATTACGAGAGACTCCCATTAAAACATAACAAACTATACAACAAACGCATTACTCAGTGGTGAACGGGTGTGTTTACTTCGCCCCCATGCTTTTACAATTGCTTTTGTTAGCAATCCTCCTGTGATTGGTGTGTGTTTCTTTCAAAGAATACTACAACTAAGAGAGAAGCCCCTAAGCTTCACACATCCCAAAGTGGAAGTGGAGCTTTTAAATGTTCAAAATGTGGCAAATTTTTTTTCTGACAGAATTTGTCCCATCGGCCACAGCAGAAGCCACAAGTCATCCTAACCTTTAATTCTTATATTTCTTCTATTTCAAAGGAGAGATTTTCTCCTCTGTGGATGTCCTGGCCATCGTCAAACAGTGATGGACAAGCTATTTTTATTAACTGGTGTAACAAATGGGTAACAGGGGAAGATCAGGGAAACGTAGCTTTTCTGAGAGCATCCGAGCAAAGGAATGAATGGAAAATCATGATCGCCGATGTCTGTCGCAGATCTGGCACTGGATGATGATGATGATGATGATGGTGTGTGTTTAAATGGTTTTCAGATGCAGTGGTGCCCCCACGGTTGTCCCAACAGCGGGATAGAAGAAGAAGAAGAAGTTTAAACTGGACAATGATATTTCAAAAAATTTTCAAACATGTTTTGTCCTCCCTCCGCAGGGTGCCCCAGGAAACTCTGGAGCTCCCGGACTCCAAGGACGCCCCGGAGAGAAGGGACCCGATGGTGATGTTGGTCTGCCCGGTGCCCCTGGCAACCAGGGTCTGCAAGGACCTTCCGGACCTTCTGGAGGATCTGGACCTTCCGGAGAGAGAGGACCAAGAGTGAGTCATTGTTTGTCTGCTTGTGTGTGTGTGTGTGTGTGTGTGTGTGTGTGTGTGTGTGTGTGTATGTGTGTACGTGTGTATGTTGGTGTGGATGGATGTGTATGTGTGTGTGTATGTATGTTTGTGTGTGTGTGTGTGTGTGTGTGTG